CAAGGTCCTCCCTTCTTCCATTTCATCCTCACTGCGGCTCTGTGAGGGAGGTTAGGCTGAGGGAGCGACCCGTCTCCCAATGAGCTTCACGGCTGAGCAGGGATTTGAACTCACGCCTCCCCCAGTCTTCATCCAACATTCTACTGTGTAGCTGATATAACTGATGTTTGCTTCTTGCTTTAGATACTGTTCTCCCCACCAACTCACCCCCCCCCCAGTGCAAATAAGATAAAATAAAAGCTCAGGCTTCTTGACCGTCGGACAGCCTGCAGCAAACAAAGAACTACCTCTGGCCGACTCAGGCTGAAGTCCTAGGCACGCTTTTTAAGCGGCAAGCTTCAACCAGCTCAAGGGGACTTAGTCTCGAGTAAAGATGCTCAGGACTGCACTGCAAGTGGAGAAACGAGCAGGATGACGGGAAAGAAGAGAACCCTGACGTGTATTGGGGTGCCAAATATACACATTGCACTAGTAGAAAACACCATCAAAGATTACCGAAACAATATATTAAACAATTTTGGTGGTGTCACAACAACCTGATTTCAGCCATTTCAACTGACCACAAGGTTCATAGTGTAAGAAGTGAATCATAGGTTTACTTCTTACACTATGAACCTTGTGGTCTGTTGAAATGGCTGAAATCAGGTTCCACTTACACAAACTGAAGAAGTCGAAGGAAACGCATCTTCCAAGTATCTAGAATGGGCGTCTTTGCAAAGGCTGTCTGAAAAATGTTATGACTATGTGGACTCCTCCTATCAAGTTACACACTGGCTACATGGACTTTATGTCTTATCTTCAAAGGAAGAAATGCTGCATCTTATGCCTTGTTATAGTTACAGTATACAACTTTATAATTGTATAGTAGTTACAGTATAGGTAAAGGTTCCCTTGCTCGCAAGCCAGTCGAATCCAACTCTAGGGTTGCGGTGCTCATCTCCGTTTCAAAGCCGAAGAGCCAGCGCTGTCCGAAGACGTTTCCATGGTCATGTGGCCGGCATGACTAAACACCAAGGCGCACGAAACGCTGTTACCTTCCCACCAAAGTGGTACCTATTTATCTACTTGCAATTTCTTGCTTTCGAACTGCTAGGTTGGCAGGAGCTGGAACTAGGGAATCACAGTATACAACTTTATAATTGTTTAATATATTGTTTTGGCAATCTTTGATAGTGTTTTTTACTAGTGGAATTTGTATATTTGGGACTCCACTAGTCCCAATTTGGGACTCCACACTAGTCTTTTTCCCTTGTTGTTTGGATTTACGTATTGGGGTGGGCAGGAGAAAGCTTCCACACATTCCCAGCGAGGGGAAGTCCAGCTCCAAGGTCAAGAATGTGCAGACGCCTGGCAGGGCCTGTCCGACACATAGCAGTGCGTGGCCTTCATCCTGCACAGTCGGCGTGATGGCACCAGAATGCAGAAGGAAGAGGCAACTGAAGTGTTTTAACTGCCTTTCTGATGGTGGGTGGAGAGACACAGAATCCAAGCCTGCTAGGTGTGCATTCCAAACAAGAGTCTTTTAGCCTTGATTACACTAAGGTCCTTTATATTAAAAACACACAGGAGGTAAGAGGAATGCAACACACCCTGGTACAACAGATTCCTGAGGAAATCTGCACGACTCTGAGAGACCTACCTTCAGCGGCAGAGGCTGAGCCTTGCGATGCAGAAGCCGCCTGGGTTTGTTCATAGATGGAGAGAAGCTCCTCGTCTTCTTCGGCGAAGTAGACCGGCACGATGGTCTCCATGGCTAGCATTTCGGGCTCTCTCTCCATGAATTGCTGAGGACACAGGACAATGTGCCAGGAGTCAGAGAAAAATCAGGATGTTCCAAAGAAAAGGAAAGAGATGCTTTGGCTGTGCTGCCTTCAGCCCCCCCTTTGCAAAACCGCCTTGTGTTCAACTGCAGTAACGAAATGCTCGTGTGGCATTTGTACGGCCTGTTCTGTTTCTGCTGCTGCTTCCCTTTGCTTCACTGCCAGGCTGACAAGCAGCAGCCATGCCATTCCTCTGTGCCTCGAGGAACGGAAGCTGCCGCTTTGAAAAGGATACTCCATGCGGTGGCTAAGCACCGCGAAGAAGCCTGATGTCCCTGTTCTAGATCTTCCCTCTCCCAGTCTCAGCAGGTGGCAAACTGACAAGATGTCAGCTCTCTGAAAGAGAGAGTCTTGCTTGCAGGATGGTTATGTGAAGCAGTCTGAACACTCTGAAGCATAACTCAGCACATCCCTTCCGTTACCGATCGCCTACGAGAGAGTGTCCCCATCATCTTTCCTAAGCATCCCAGGGTAGATCACTGGTAAAACATGGCAGGATCGTCCAGTGCTAACCTCACCCACCTGCCCACAACTGCTGCTCACCTACAGATCTGACAACAGTTGGGCAAACCACCAGCACAAACACTCAGCTTCTAAGTCAGCGGTTTTCAAACTTTATACTCTCAGCAGACTCTTTCCACGTTAGCTTGCCAGCCAAGGAGCTCCTCAGGTAGTGGTTAAGAGCGGCAGATTCTAATCTGGGAGAACCGGGTTTGATTCCCCACTCTCCCACATGCAGCCAGCTGGGTGACCTTGGGCAAGCCACAGTTCTCTCAGAGCTGTTCTCTCAACAGCAGTCCTCAAAAGAGCTCTCTCAGCCCCACCTATCACACAGGGAGTCTGTTGTGGGGAGAGGAAGGGAAGGAGATTGTAAGCTGCTCTGAGACTCCAAGTGAAGAGCGGGGTATAAATCCAACTCTTCTTCTTCTTCATATTCTGTATTAGTCAGGACAGAATCAGTCAGGCCATACGGACTCACAGATGGTGCACAGGGTCCAGCAGCATACCCTAGAACTCATTCTATTCCCCCTTGGGGCTAGGCATTGCAGGAGAAGACTTGCCTGTCTTTCAGGGAACCCGCTCTGCCCATACAGACCTTCTTACTGTGGGACTTCACCACTGTTTGCAAACACAACCATTATACCAGCAAGCTAACATGACTGCTCAGCCCAAACTTCATGCAGACATCTTTTTACAATCAGGGTTTCGAGTAACAGAACACCCCGATTCCCCCCCCCCCAAGAGCACTACTGATGCAAACATTCCCCATTCCAGATCTACTCTCTGAGAAACTCAGAAGGCAGCAGACTTGGCCAAACATCTATTGGGAAGACTTCCGCCGCCGTGCTCCAAAAGGGATGCTTACCCGGATGACATCCTGAGGCACCGACGACATGCTCTGCGGCAGGATGATCACCACGGCGCCGGCTGACTGGCGGAGGGCCTTCTGGTACTGCTCGTAGGAAAAGTCCATTAGCCGCATCATCACGCAGCGCCGACTCAGCACGTCCGCTTCCACCGTGCGCGCCTCTGTGTTCAGCACAGCATTACGGGTGCCTGGTGGGAGCAGAGGAAGGGACCTCGTAAGCAGCCACAACGAGGCTCTGGAGCCAAGGACAGCCTCCAACTCCCAGCCCCAAGAGAAGTGTCAGGGAGTGTATAGAAATTTTGCTTTCTGCTTTCTATAATCCATGCCTTCTCCTGTGATTACATTCTGATAACATGCTGTGTCTTATTTCCTCTCGCAGGCCAAGTGGCCGACCATTTGGCCAGAGAAACTTTATAACCATGCCATATAACCACACATTCTTTCACACCTCTAAGGGAAGAGGCAGACCTGATGGTTCCTGGCTCTGCCTCACATGCAAAAAGTCGCATAGGCAAAGGAGAAGCTGGAGTTTGGGGTCATGTGACTGCAGGCGTGGTCCCCAAACTTCTAGCCTATCCCCACATGCAACTATGACAACCAACAATTGGGCACACCCATGCCCACTCGCAATTGGCTAATAGCGACATCTAATTTGTGACTGGAATTGGGCTATAATTGTTGATTCCTATGGGAATGATCTCTCTCTTAGCTCTTGCTCTCTGTGCTTGTTTTATTGCACCTGAAATGCAGCCCTTGAGGGACAAAGGGTGGCTTTGTGAACTGGATGCATGCTTGCACAAGATGGGATTCCTACTCAAAATCCCTTGGTGCTAACTGGATTATCCAGCCAGCCGAGGCCGTATTTACTATCCCAGCTCCTTCCCCCGAACTGCTTGGGAATTTTGATCGGGCTCCTGCTTTAGATGCTCCCTTTCAACAATTGCTCTGCTATTACCATTTATCTATGCTTTTCAGCTTTTTGTGCCGCTTTACAGAAATGTCAGCTTTGTGAAGAGGGAGAGGCCGTGGCTCAGCGGTGGAGCACCTGCTTTGCAGGTACAAGGTCCCAAGTTCAATGCTTGATGCATGCAGTTAAAAGGATCGTGTAGGAGGCAAGATGAAAGACCTCTAGCTGATCCCTGGGAGAACTGCCATCAGTCACAGGAGACCACGATAGCCTTACAGATCCAAGAGCCTGACTCTGTCAAATACAGCATCACGGGCTCGTGACCCCGTTGCTCTGTTGCCCCAGCGCGCATGGTCTCCAGCACATTTTCAAATGGTTAAGTGGCCCCTTGCTGGGAGAAAACATACAGGCTGCCAATACGTTTCCTCCAGCAGAGCAAAGGGCATCTCTGGAGGGCTGTTTTCAGGCAGGAAAATGATGTGTGTGGGGGGACTGGCTCCCATCCGCTTCAAAAGCTCCTCCAAATTAGCCCCCCCCCCGGTAACAGCTGCAACTCTGCTCCACAGGGACAATACGTTTCACTAGGAATCAGATGCTTTTCTCCCGGGCTGGTTTCCTCAGCTAAATCAAGCCACCAGGACTGGCGGGAGCGCCGCACAGTGTCCAGTGAAACAGGACACTGGACAGGAGGCCCCCCGGAAGCCTCGAGGATAAGGCGCTACAGGCTTGGCACCTGCTGCACAGCTCTGCTGAAATCACGAGGCTTAAAACTCATGCCTGGTTTGTCCCAGGAGCCAGAACACAGCATGCCACCTCATTTATTATCTGTGGGGCGGCTTGGGGAGTCCCTTCGTATTTACAGCCTCGTCACTTATTCATTCATGAAAACATTTATATCCCACCTTTCCTCATGGTTCAAGGCAGCTTACAATCATAGTTCAAACAGGTAGCAAACTTCACAATCCCCCTCCACAGATGCACTCAGACTGGAACACATCACAGAGTTAGGGTGATGTAGAGGCTAGAGCAGGGGTCCCCAACACGGGGCCCAGCAAGTGATTTCAGAAAGCGGGCAGGGCCAGGTCGGGTTTAACATAAGAGAACTTAAGAGAAGCCAATGTTGGATCAGGCGAATGGCCCATCCAGTCCAACACTCTGCCACACAGTGGCCAAAAATACCAGGCGCCATCAGGAGGTCCAGCAGTGGGGCCAGGACACTAGAAGCCCTCCCACTGTTGCACCCCAAAGCACCAAGAATATAGAGCATCATTTGCCCCAGACCGAGAGTTCCTGTCTATACCTTGTGCCACTGGGGATTACATTGGCTGTGCAGAGTTTGAGTCCAGTGGCACCTTTAAGACCAATGAAGTTTCCCTCTGGGTATAAGCTTTTATGTGCCAACCTAGCAGTTCGAAAGCAAGAAATTGCAAGTAGATAAACAGATACCGCTCCAGTGGGAAGGTAACAGCGTTCCGTGCACCTCGGTGTCTAGTCATGCCAGCCACACGACCACGGAAACGTCTTCGGACAGCGGTGGCTCTTCGGCTTGGAAACTGAGATGAGCACTGCAACCCTAGAGTCGGATTTGACTGGCTTTCGAGCAAGGGAAACCTTTACCTTACACTTGGAAATGCGGATGCACATGGAAGATTATACCCAGAATTCCTACAAGTGCCACTGGGACTCAAACTTTGTTTTGTTGCTTCAGACCGACATGGCTACCCACCTGAATCTACCAAACGCAACAGACGCTAGCTGTTGCAGATTTTCCGGGCTGTATGGCCGTGGTCTTGGCATTGTAGGACCTGACGTTTCGCCAGTAGCTGTGACTGGCATCCTCAGAGGTATAACACAGAACATCTGACAATAGCACTACAGGTAAGATTAGAACCTCCTCAGGAAACAGGAGACCTCCGCAGGAAACAATCCAAATACAAAAAGAACCTCCTCAGGAAAGCTCCTCCATTAGCATGTTCACAGCCTGGGGAACTCCTACAAGATAATGACTCAGCCCTACCCCACCTTCCTGAGTAGATAAAAATTACCTGCCTACCATTTTTCTTCTCACCTTGACACAGAGAGTACTCCATCTTTCTGTGTTATACCTCTGAGGATGCCAGTCACAGCTACTGGCGAAACGTCAGGTCCTGCAATGCCAAGACCACGGCCACACAACCCAGAAAATCTGCAACAGCTAATGAACTCTGGCCGTGAAAGCCTTCAACACCATATTGCAACAGATACTGTTCCCGAGCCTAGAGAATGATGGGAATCATTCAACCTCAATCAATCAACCTCACTTGCTGTCTTCCGCACACTGCTTGTTGTCCTCTCACCCCACAGGAAGGATGTGGGCCACAAAGGAGTTCCTGGAGATATCCCCACAAAGTTGCAACACACGTTCCCCTTGCTACATACCCTCCCCAGCCCCTTCTCCTAAGGAAGGAACTGGTAAGACCGGCAGAACAGCTCTGTAACATCCTGCACACTCCCCCTCTGGGGTTACACATAGGCAGATGGTTCAAAGCCATTCAGATAGGGCATATAACCACCACCTCATGGGGGGAGGGAGAGAAACACACCTTGTGGGAGACTGCTGTGAGTCATTACTACTACACAGAAATGTTGCAATGTTCAGCTAGCTAACCAGGTAGATAGAATGACTGAAAGAGATTTGAAAAGGTGCCCCCTAATCCAACAACCAGATTTCTTTCCTGTGTTATTTTTAATATGCACGCTTCCAAAAGCATAGGCAGCTGGGCACCATCTTAGAAGCAACATTCCTCACCCCTGGAAACGCCTCTTCCAAAATGGAGCTTGCCGTGGCAGGCAGATATATTTTTAAAAAATACATGCTCTGCTTTAGCATTTTTTGTGGACGCAAACCTCTGCAGTGTCGATTGATTAAAACTAAGGCCCCGGTCACACGGGCCGGATATCGCGCGGGGGGTGGGGGTGGCTAATTGCCCCGGCCCAGTTTGATCCGCGATTACGCGATCAGACGCGCCGGCGGCATATCACAGGTCCTTCCCTCGGCGCCGGTGGGTAAACGAGGGACCGGAGGGGAATGCCTCCGCCACAATCCCACCACGGGCGTCTGGAGGCAGCCCGTGGCAAACGTTTACTAGTACCTTGGGGGTACTAGTTTTTTAATGTGCATTATCGGCAGTAAGCCACGGGTGCGCTCCACTTCCCAGATGTTGGGGTGTGATCACGCCCACCATCCGTGCCTCTCCCACGGCAACTTTGCCGTGTAACCGGGGCCTAAATCTGCAGTCCTAGTCACACTTGTTTGAGAGCTAAGTGTCATTACATTCTGGGTGATGGAAACCCAGAGGGAAGTCCACAACAAGATCTGTTTAACTAACTGGACAGTAGTCTCTGATGCAAAGTCATGTTAATAGCAATAACCACACCAACATTGCAACCCACATGGCAAAGCCCATTGACTTTAATAGGCTTAGAAGGGCAGAATCATGTTCCAGATTCCCATTCCCTTCTTTATCAAGAACATTCACAAGGCCACTTTTCTGTCAATGAGCTCTTTACGGGTCACGCACACAAAAGTTTAAAAATACGAAAAAACGCTAAAAGCTTGCCAAAATATGACCCTTCAGGCGTCATCAACCGGGGACAACAGGAATGCAGCGGATTAACAGGGACATTTATCCCCACTCTCGTAGTGGCCAAGGGGCGGGCTGTCAGAGGAGTTCAAGCCCAACCCTTGCCGTAAAGATAGATCCCGTTGGTCAGCCCTATTGGTTTGATGCAGTGCAACAAATTTAGAGTCCAATGGGCACCTTTAAGACCAACAAAGGTTTATTCAAGGTATGAGCTTGAATAAACCTTTGTTGGACTTAAAGGCGTGTGCGTGCACACGAAAGTCACATGGTGAACTTTGCGGCAGGGCAACAGATTTAGAGTCCAATGGGCGCCTTTAAGACCAACAAAGGTTTATTCAAGATATGAGCTTTTGTGTGCACGCTCATACCTTGAATCAAGGGTCATTTCGTAGAAAAAGAGGTGCAGGAGCTCATTAGTATAACTCATTAGCATAACTGCCCTGCCGTAAAGTTCACCGCGTGACTTCGGGCCAGGCACTCGCTCTCGGCACACTCCCACCCCCGCCTGCCTCACAGGGCTGTTGTTGGGAGGGCAAGAGCGGGGCGGGGGCGGCCCTGAACCTCTGCAGAGAGAAAAGGCCGGGAGCGCCGACCGAGGCGTGCAGCAAAAGCACTCCCGAGGCTCCCGGGTCCTCGCCCCGAAGGGGTCGATGCCGCCGGACCGGGGTCCTTATTAGCATAATTTATTCGCCCATGCAAATCGCCACGCCCCCTCCCTCTCCTGGACGGGTGCCGGCAGGGCCCCCTCGGCCGCCCCCTCACCGTAGGGCTGCCCGCCGAGCTCGTACTGCTGCATGCGGTAGACGGTGAACTCGTGGGCGGCCGAGGCGGGCGGCGGGCCCAGCAGCAGGAGCAGGACGGCCGGCAGCACCAGCAGGAAGCTAAGCGGCAGGCACGAGGCCTTGAGCAGCACCGAGCCCAGCACCTCCTCGCCCGCCTCCTCCAGCATCGCGGCGGCTCGGTTCAGGCGGCGGCACCGGGGGAGAGAGGGAGGCCGGGCGGGCAGGCAGACAGGCGGAGGCGCTTCACTCGACAGCCCTGGCTCCCTCACACCGTCGCCTCAGCCAGCGCGAGGCCGGCCGCCGGGCACGCTGGGAAATGGAGTCCGTCCCCCGTTCCCACGGCCCTGGCGCGCAAGGTATGCTGGGAGTTGGAGGCTGCTTTCCCCCTCTTCCTTCCCGCAATAGGTGATTGGGGGAAAGGGCAGGGTCGGCTCGAGGAACTGTCAAACTGGCCTGCCTGCCTGCCTCGGTGAGGCCGCCCTTTCCCGTGGGACGATGGGAAATGGAGGTGACCCCTCAGGGTACGCGCTAAGCATTCTGGGAGTTGGAGGCTTCTCTTTCTCTCACACACAGACAGATTCCAAACAGGAATAACAAGCTTAGTTTATATGGTTACCCTTTGTTTGGGTTTAATTCGGGGGCGGGGAACATAGTGAATGAAATAAATATGTCAACATTGGATACATCTGCCCACCAATCTCCAATTTTGACATATTTATTTCATTCACTATGTTTCCCCCGCCCCAGAATTAAACCCAAACAAATGGTAACCATGTAGAGACAACGCCCTCATACTCCCAGAGACATGATACAGGACAAGCTGGCCGTTTGTGATAGGGAAAGTATTCTTTAGATTAGGCATCTCTGTCTTTGTTTGACTGCAACTTGAACATGAACTGGATCTACTTGAATAAATGGAAGTTTTTGCCTTTTGCAGTATACTTTTAGGGAGATTTTTTTAACTGCACCAAGTATCATGCTTCAATGACGGGGCAAAACTCTGCTATATTAACCAAATAGCCTAATAGTTAATACTTAACGCTTTGCTTCGGTTCTGTGGGTTTTTTTTAGATTCCTGGTTGGTTCTACAACCCAAATCCTATTTCATTGTTTATTGAATGTCCCATCCTGTTGATTGTACTGACTCGCTCTGTGTGATCTACCGTGAGTCCCAGTGGGAAAGTTGGAGTATAGATAATGTAAATAAAATAAAATAAATAGCCATGGGAGGAAAGAGATGGAAGGAAGATGATGGGATGCCATTGCAAGCCAATGTGCATGAGCATATTCCACCGCGTTCAAAATGTACCTGCTCCCATTTGTCCCTTAGGGTTTCCCTTGCTCGAGAGCTAATCAAATCCGACTCTAGGGTTGCAGTGCTCATCTCCGTTTCCAAGCCGAAGAGCCAGCGCTGTCCAAAGACTTTTTCTGTGGTCATGTGGCCAGCATGACTAAACGCCGAGGCACATGGAACGCTGTTACCTTCCCACTGAAGTGGTACCTATTTATCTACTTGCAATTTCTTGCTTTCGAACTGCCAGGTTCGAGTGCTAGTGTCACATGGCACTTGGTCTTGAACTGCCGAGCTTAAACCTCTGAGCCACCACGGGCCCACTTGTCCCTTACTCAGAGATTAACCTCTAGACAAGCCAAGAGTTCTCCAAAATGGGGACAGAGACAGGCAAAATGAGCAAGGGGGGAACCATGTACAACCCTGAACTCCTTTTAGGAAGGGCAAAAAATTTGCTAGATTGATATGGATTAGTAGGAATTGTACAAGAGGGGCGCACACGGAGAAGAAGAATCCTATTTTCCACCCCCAGCTCCAACTTTGGCTTGGATTGCTACAACTACAGCAACTCAACATATCAACTGAACTCCAGGATTGGGGCCAAGTGTCTGTGTCTTTGCCTGCACAGATACCATTATTAATGGGGGAAGGGGGGTAGTGTCAATATCTGGAGGGTTACCTCCAGGGGTCTTTTCGTAGAAAAAGAGCTGCAGGAGCTCATTAGCATATGGTATGCTAATGAGCTACTAGGCGATTAGCCTATGCCATGCCACCTGACATCACCAGAAGTGATGTCAGCAAAAGGAGGGGGGGAGGCATCTTCAAAAGCCTCCCCTTCCCTTCCCCAGCTGGCCTGGGGGGTGGGGAGCAAAGAGAGAAGGGGTTTAAAGTTTAAACCCCTTCTCACTAGAGTTGGGCCACAGAAGGAGGAAAGAGGGAAGGAAAGAGAGAGAGTAGAGAGAAGGAAAGAAGGAAGGAAAGAGGGAAAGAAAGAGAAGGAAAGAAGGAAGGAAAGAGAGAAGGGAAGAAGTAGGGAATGAGGGAAAGGAGGAAAAAAGAAGATAAGGCAGGAAAGAAAGAAGGGAAGAAAGAGGGAAAGGAGCGAATTTTTAAACTCAGATTGTTCTACAAACTTCGTCTCCCCACTCCCAGTGTTTAGAAACCTATATGATAATTCCTGGCTATTAAATGTAGCAATCAGGGCTGTGGTTTTTCCATCCGCTTTCAAAAAGTAGAATGAAAAAGGCCGTTGTGACATCTGTGGAGCAATCCCCCCCCCCCCCCCCCCCGGCACACACAATCTGCATATTTGAACATCTCAAGCTTTGAACAGCAAGCCAGGCCATCACAAACCATTGCACAATCAGTACAAGTGTTGCCTGGAATGGGAAATTTGGCAACATCCGATCCTCTGCATTCTCCACGCTTGAGGTGAGAAGAAAATCAAACCTGCCAATTATGGAAAGGCCTGCCCACTCCCAAACTACATTTCAGTGCATAGGTAAAGTAAAGGTAAAGGTTCCCTTGCTTGAAAGCCAGTCGAATCTGACTCTAGGGTTGCGGTGCTCATCTCCGTTTCAAAGCCGAAGAGCCAGCGCTGTCCGAAGACGTTTCCGTGGTCATGTGGCCGGCATGACTAAACACGAAGGCGCACGGAACGCTGTTACCTTCCCACCAAAGTGGTACCTATTTATCTACTTGCAATGTCTTGCTTTCGAACTGCTAGGTTGGCAGGAGCTGGAACTAGAGACAGGAGCTCACCCCGTCTTGCGGCACCCGGGTCTTGAACTGCTGAACTACTGACCTTCCACAGCCTGCAGTTCTGTTATTCATAGGGCCGAGCAGATTTCTTCCATTTTGTTTCCTTATTTCCCCCAAATTTTGCCATGAATTTTAATTCATTTGCATGAATTCAGCCGCCCTGAGCCCGTTCGCGGGTAGGGCGGGGTAAAAATGCAAAAAAAAAAAATGTTTCTCCCCCCTGTACTATCAGGCATACATATTGAAGACAAGAAGAGAAGAGATTGGATTTATACCCCGCCCTTCATACCTGAAGGAGTCTCAGAGCAGTTTACAATCCCTTTCTCTTCCCCTCACTACAACAGACACCCTGTGACGTAGGCGAGGCTGAGAGAGCCCTTTCGAGAACAGCTCTCAGAAAACTGTGACTGACCCAAGGTCACACCACCAGCTGCAAGTGGAGGCGCGGGGAATCAAACCCGGATCTCTCGGATTAGAGTCCATGCTCTTAACCACTACACCAAACTGGCATATAGTGATAAAACGCTACACAAGAGCAATCCTTATGCCATCGAACATACACTTTGGTATGCATAAAAAAGACCAAGGAATTGACATTCTGGCAAATGGGGAGAACTTATGCTCAACCGAGATGGGGACCCCAGCAAGGGGCTTTCAAGGTAAGTGAGAAGCAGAGGTGGCTGCTGCCGTGGCCTTCCTCTGCAGAGCCTTCCTCGGTGGTCTCTTTTCCCAGTACCCACCCTGCTTAGCTTCTGAGATCTGACAAGACTGGAGTATACCAGGCTGCCTTCCCTCCTGGGGATGAAACTTAGAGGAAGAAAGTGATAGACGCATTGCTACCTATGAAGAGCTGCCAACTTTGTTGAGCTGAGATGCTAGAGGAACAGTGAGCACCAGAGATATTTTGTAATCTTTGCTTTATTTACAGGCATACGAGTAGGACACACCCATGTATAATGGCTACAAGCGTACAAGTAGAACATACCAGTGTAAAACGGGCACTCCTTCAGCAGACAGCACATCTACTGATAGAACGTCCTATCCCGAGATAACAGTTTTTGACTCCAGCTCTCTCTCTCCCAGTTCTGCAGTGCCATTTGTCACTTGTGCCAGCAAAACTGTCATGGTGTCTAGGTAGAATGCCCATCCAGAAAAATATTCAGTCATTAAAAAAAAAAAAAAAGTAACACACTTGGATTAAATGTTGTTGGGTGAAGCCACTCCAAAGAATCGAGTGGCTAAGCTTAGCAATGATAACCATGCAGATTTCTCTCTTGCTTACTGAGCATGATAAGCAGGCATTCCAACCAACCATGAACAGAGAAGAAGAGATTGGATTTATACCCCCTTCACTTGGAGTCTCAAAGTGGCTCACAATCTCCTTTCCTTCCCCCTCCCCAGAACAGACACCCTGTGAGGCACGTGGGGCTGAGAGAGTTCTTTCGAGGACTGCTCTTGAGAGAACAGCTCTGAGAGAACTTGTGACTGACCCAAGGTCACACCAGCAGCTGCATGTGGAGGAGTGGGGAATCAAACCCAGTTCTCCCAGATTAGAGTCCGCACTCTTAACTACTACACCAAACTGGCTCTCAAACACCAAACTGGCTCTCTCAAGTGGTGACCCAAGTGATAATAAAAATGGAGCCATTCTGTTTTAGTGGCTCACTTGTTGTCATGGGTCAGTAACAGAGCAGGCCTCCCCCTCCCCCCTCTTACAGAAAGGGCACTGCAATTTAGGATACTTTAGATCATTATCATGAGTGTATCCTAATTTTAAAACCACTACCCAGAACTGAGTGGTTTGGTTCAGGCAACGCACTCAACCCTGGGTTTAGCTATGGTCAGTTTTTTAAGCCATAATTCAGCTCGCAGATGACCATTCAGATCCTTGACAAGTGCTGGTTTCATCACCCCACCTGAGATCAGAATTGGAATGAGGACAAGTAGCAGAGAACAAGAATTTGGGACCGAACCAGAATTTGCACACTGTGCAAAACTGTACTTAGACTGTGTTTAACCAAAGCTTGAGTCCAGTCAGGCACCTTTAACATAACACCAACAAAGTTTAATTCTAGGGATAAGCTTTTGTGTGCATGTGTGGTCTTCAAGATGCCACTGGACTCCAACTTTGTTCTGTTGCTTCAGACGAACACAGCCACCCACCTGCATCTGTGTTTAATCAAATGACTTCCAAACAGGGTTTCAGTCTCCTGCCTTGATGTATCCTCCCTGTACCTAGCCATAGTAACTGGTGTGGCCTGCATTCGGACAATCCTACTCATCTTGATTTGGTGCGACGCCTGAACCAAGTTTGATGCTCAAGCTTTTATGCTAATTATAGTTCAAAATTCCAGCCCACGGTTCGAGGTTTCATATGGTCAGGCAAAGCATGGTCAAGAGCTGCTGTCATTCCCTGTCTCCTCGGCTCTCTGGAGCACTCGAGGTGTCATAGCAGCTTGTCAGTTTGCACATTGCACCAGCCCCTAGTTAGCACAAACCACGGTTTACAAGCTCACTTGGTCTGTGATTCTGATTAGCCAGCTAAGCATAACTCGCAGATGTCTATCAATCTGGAGGTCTCACTAACCTCAGATAAAGGTTCCCTGGCACTGGTTTAGCCTAACATGTAAACTGGGCCTATGTATTGGTTAAACTGGAATAGTTCAGGGCTGCCTATACTGAATCTGAAAACGGACTGAATACATGAAAGCAGCACACAAGCAAATCCAAGGAAGAGGCCACAAGAATGGGAATTGGTGGTACTATCAGTCGACTCTCCTAGTTTACTTCTCAGTTAACCATCTGCTGGAACACACCTTGCTAGACTAATAGCTCTTTAGGCTGAACGGTGAATCTCGCTCCTCGTGTCCAGAACGGTCGAGATTCCAGTTCACTTTATATAGTACATTTGTATCCCACCTTTCCTCTGGGGATTCAGGGAGATATATGTGGCTAGCCTGCTGCAAATCGGATGTGTCGTCTGGCGGCACAGTACTCAGTGCGCTGGAATTACTGGAAAGAGGCTCTCTGGCCCTCTTCGCGTTGAGTGCCTTGGAATTTCGGAAGCTCTCCTGTGGTTTCAAGGAGCTTTCCGTGGAAGATCCCGCTGGGATATCGGCCACGGCGAGGCATTCTCCAGGGCAGCAGCAGCAGAGTAACTCTAGGACTGCTCTCCTCACTTCCTGGCTCCTGAAGGAGTAGATGATGGGATTGATGAAGGAGTTGGCCACCGCCAAGGTCAAAGCCCAGTCCAAGTATTTGTGGAGCTTCCAGCTCCTAGTCTGAGAAAAGATGTCCATCAGTAGGAGGATGAAGAGGGGGATCCAGCAAAACAGAAAGGCGAAAAGGATGATCAAGACCGTGGTCAGCAGCCGTAGCGACCTCTTGCGGCCACACCTTGACGTGGCTTGCCAGTTGCTCCTCGAGACCTGGCGGTAGATGGAGGCATACAGTGCCACTATGCCCACCAAGATGATGATGAACATGACCACCGAGAAGAGAATGTAATTCTTGGCATAGAGGGGCAGCAGTGTGGAACAGTTGGGCAGATCACAAAGACAGTTCCAGCCCGACAAAGGGAGCAAGCCGACGATGACAGCCAGGACCCAACAGGAGAACAAGAGGCCCCTCAGGCGGGCCTTCTTGCTGGTCTCGTTCTCAGCGATGGACTTCACCATGGTGCTGTAGCGCTCGATCGCCGTCACTAACAGGCTGAAGGTGGAGGCTGCCAAGGCGACGAAGAGGACCCCCTCCCGAAGGAACCACATTGTGGGTGACAGGCGGAAGGTTCTGCTCCCTGACAGGCAGAGGTTGACCATGAAGGCCACGCCAGTCAAGAGGTCACTGAGAGTGATGCTGGCGATGCAAGAGTAGACCCAACGGCGGGCTTGCAGCTTCCGAGCGATGGCCAGGAGGACAAGCAGATTCTCCATGACAATGAGGCAGCCGGCAGCAAGGAAGACCACCTTGAGGGTGCCCACGGTGTCTTCCTGGGGCCGCCGGTTAGCCATCCTTCCCGTGAGATTGTAGTGGTGCAGGATGAGGTGGCTGTTGTCTGTGGCAGCATAGTGTAGGCAGAGGTCCATGCCACGGACCAAACCGAGCTGAGCTTCTAGGAGCTCGGTGGTAAGAGCTGGAGGCGGGGAGGTGGAAGATGCCATGGTAGAACCCAAGTCAGGCATCTCCCTGAAAACTCTGACAAAATGGGATCAGATTGTTATTGCATGAAGGGCGGACGTCTGAGTGGAAGTGAAAGTCAAGGCAGCAACCGTCTCAGCCTCTGACAAAAGGAATCTGGCTCCCGCCGCCGTTTGTGTTAGTGCCGTGGATGCAAACTTGGCATTCAAGCCTACAGCAGATGAGGCAAGAGTTGTTGGTTAGGATAAGATGGTGTAAGGGCCAGAGGTTAATCGATGTGTGCCTGGGGAACAAGAACCAGCAGCGCAGACCCCAGAATGCCTTGCACCCGTTGCAGCAGAACCAGGGCAGTTGTTTCGGCCAAACGGGTCACAGGCCCCCCCAAAGAGGGAGGCTCGAAGTTCCCTCTCCCCGGCAGTTCACGGTTCTGCAAAAGAGAATGGAGAAGAAGGGTAAACAAGAGAGGGTCTCAAAGTGGCAAGAGGTCACCGGAGGACACCGTTTCCTGTTGTTTAAGACTTCTCCGGCTATCGGCGTCACCTCCGCCAGCGCCTGCTGTTTTTTAGAGCGGGTGGCACAACTTCGAAGTCAAACGCGGCTGATAGTTCTTCTTTTTTTCCTTTCACATTCAAAAATATTTTTTAAGCTCACCAAAAAAAAAAAAGAGAGAGAGCAATCCAAAAGTAAAACTATTATAACACGATCGACCGGTAGACACTCCCAGAAAACCTAGGCTAGACCTAAAAAATTTTGTACAATTTCCGTACACCCACATAACAACTCACATTGATACGTGTATAACAATAACCTTAACAGTTTTAACCAGATTCTAACATCATGTCTACATGGAAGAACTTGATTCTGTCTCAGTTCTGGGTCTTCTCCAAATCAGTGCAGGGGGAGGGGGGGCTGGAAGACTCTTTGCCCCCCAGATCAAGGACAAGGTGAGTGGGGGAGGCGTCTCCTGCAGAATTACAAACTGGTGCCAGGCTCTGTAGAACCTCAACACATATTATTGTCGTTGTTGTTAAATTTATATGCCACTCAGGGTAAATTTAAAACTTGCTATTCCTATTTGCCCATTGAAACTTATTGTCTTCTTGATTTGGGACATTTTGGCACAAATTATAGTGCATTTCATAAAATGACAGAGCTGGGCATTATCTCCCCCCCCCCAGAGATCATCTAGATCCACCCCTTGCTCCAAAGATAGGAGGGTAAACAGAGATACAGTCCAAAGGACCTTTTAGTGAGCCTTTCTTGTAGTATGAGCAGTCACGTGCTTTGGCGGAAGCCAGATTTTGGTAATATAGCCATTTCCTCTGAAACACGGGTCAAGAGGGTCTTTTAACCCCCCCTCCCTCCAGGGATGACCAGCAACACAGCCTCCATTTGTAGCTCCAATTCATCCTGAGCAACCCACGTACCTTCTCTGCAGAGTAGAGCATTTCCACTGGGGGCCTGTGACCGATGAATGGGTGGCGCACAGACCCCACTTTAAGGGGCTTGTGCTGCGCTCGTCTCACCGTTTCAGGTGGGAGCATTAAGAGAAAGCAAAAGACTGCGTGGCAGAAGAGAAGAAAGGCAGGCACCGAAGAGGTGAAGCGAGACAGACCTATAGTTTGCACGTAGAAGAGGAAACTTGGCTAGTGCCGCTTTCCCCTTGCGTGTGGGTCAAGCTGCTGCGCCTGTCCCACTTCCCCCTGCAGCAGAACCCTCAAGTCATTTCCTCTGAAACACGGGTCAAGGGGGTCTTTTAACCCCCCTCCCTCCGGGGGTGACCAGCAACACAACCTCCATTTGTAGCTCCAGTTCATCCTGAGCAACCCACGTACCTTCTCTGCAGAGTAGAGCATTTCCACTGGGGGACTGTGACCGATGAATGGGTGGCGCTTTAAGGGGCTTGTGCTGCCCTCGTCTCACCGTTTCAGGTGGGAGCATTAAGAGAAAGCAAAAGACTGTGTGGCAGAGGAGAAGAAAGGCAGGCACCGAAGAGGTGAAGCGAGACAGACCTATAGTTTGCACGTAGAAGAGGAAACTTGGCTAGTGCCGCTTTCCCCTTGCGTGTGGGACAAGCTGCTGCGCCTGTCCCACTTCCCCCTGCAGCAGAACCCTCAGAGATGCGGCTGCACTTGTCACTCGAGAGCCGTCATTTCCAAACTGCTGTGCTGTCCCTCCAAAGCTCATTGGGGTTTTCCCCAGTAACGGCAGTCACGGTCCCCTGCAAGATAGTTGCTGAGTCCGCCCTGCACTTCATGGCTGGGGGGTGGGGAGCTCGGGGGCATCCTCAAAACACTTCCCCCAGGATCCTGTGCGAGGCGGATGCACCCTAGAGCACAACCGAGAATGCTTTGCAAAGTGCTGGGATTCTGCGGCAAGCGTATGGAGGACCCAGGCAAAGATCTCGGCGTGGGAAGGTCAAAGGTTTGAAGCACCACAAGACGGAGACACGTGGATATCACAGGAGGGTTAAAGGCTGAACTTGAGAAAGTTAAAGATAAATGCTGCATGGCACCAATGGGGGGGCATCGACGGGGCATGCCCTGAGTGCACCAAAGTGGTATCACAATAGTTCTTTTAAAAAAGAAGAAGAAGCAGGGAAAGAATCTTAAGGTGAAAGACAAGGGTGGTTAAAGAGAGATAAAAACTGTTCTGGAAACTCCCCAGGAAAAGCTTGCACCTGTCAGAATCCCCCACTCCTCCACTTGCACCTGGCTGGATGACCTTGGGCAAGCCGTAGTTCTGATAAAAGCTGTTCTTGAAAAAGAGCAGTTTCTGTCAGGCAAGCGTATGGAGGACCCAGGCAAAGATCTCGGCGTGGGAAGGTCAAAGGTTTGAAGCACCACAAGACGGAGACACGTGGATATCACAGGAGGTTTTAAAGGCTGAACTTGAGAAAGAAAGATAAATGCTGCATGGCACTAATGGGGGGGGGGCATCAACAGGGCATGTCCTGAGTGCACCAGAGTGGTGTCACAATAGTTCTTTTTAAAAAGAAGAAGCAGGGAAAGAATCTTAAGGTGAAAGACAAGGGTGGTTAAAGAGAGATAAAAACTGTTCTGGAATCTCCCCAGGAAAAGCTTGCACCTGTCAGAATCCCCCACTCCTCCACTCGCACCTGGCTGGATGACCTTGGGCAAGCCGTAGTTCTGATAAAAGCTGTTCTTGAAAAAGAGCAGTTTCTGTCAGAGCTCTCTCAGCCCCACCTACCTGTCTTTTGTGGGGAGGGGAAGGGAAAGGAGTTTGTAAGCCACTCTGAGACACCTTTGGGTAGTGAAGGGCGGGGTATAAATCCAAACTCTTCTTCTTTTTCTTCTTTTTCTTCTTCTTTTTCTTCCTCTTCTTCTTCTTCTCACCTCCGGGTGAAACTATGTGTGACACTGGGGATCCAAGAAGCTCTGACATCTGATGAAGTTGCAAAAGCGACTACAAGTGGGGTGGGCATGACTGGTATGGATCAGGGCCACGGTTTGGGGAAAAGGGCTTAACTCCCAGCTCGAAAATCTCCATCCCTCTTGCAGGGGCTTTGGGCTGTGCTAGCGGGGGGGGGAAGAGAAAGTCAGGCCCAAAATGAGTGCCTGTCCCCCCCCCCCCCCCCCCAAAGCAAGGCTTAAACCAGCTGCAGGAGGAGTGATTTTCAGTCTGAGAAACAGCATCAAGGAGGACGAGTGAAGACCCACCTTCTCCATCTTCCGGGCAGCCCCAGCTGCACCTTGTGCCTGAATTTCACATTTGGGGGTCTCTAACTGCAGACCCCTCCATGTCACAGCCGCCCCTAGAGAGAGAGACAAAAGGAATGATGCTTGGGGAGGGGGGGAATGTTCACCTGCTTTGATAACCAGGCTGAGGTTAAAAGCTGCAGACAGAAGGTGTGAAGGGAGGAAAGGCAGAGGTTGAGAGTAAAGAAAAAAGGCTGGATGGGGGGGGGAACGGATGGATGGATGTCGGAACAGATGGAGCTGCAGGATTAAATCCTGGATCCTCCTCCTCCTCCTCCCGCCTTGGCTCACCTGCACAGGTCGATGTCACTCCCGTCCTCTGCTCCAAGCGGGGCTTTCATTGACTGGCCAAGCACCCCACCCGGCAGCCTGGTTTAGTCCGTTGTGTTTCCTTTACCTAGCAGACTAGAGGAAGGAGCCGTTGCAAAATAACAGTGAGCTGTGAAACCACAGTTTACAGGATGGACCCCACCCAAGCGGGTAAGGGGAGGGGGAAGGAAACTGGCCGGGCATCACCGGCAAGAGTAGGCCAAGCCTGCGGGGAGGAGAAGGAGGGCGCCCCCCCCAGGCACCCCTTTCCCAAAGCCCAGTGCGCTCCTTCACAAAGTGGGCAAGTGGGGGGGGGGAGACACTCTCCCTGAGTTTAAGGATGTCACAAATTGTTTCTCAACATGCAGAGGGCAAGTGGTACGTCATCTTGTCTTTCTAAAGTTGTCAGAACAGCTAACAACGAAGTACACGCATTCAGGAACGGTTATACTTTTATTGCAAAGCTATAGATGCAGTAACACAGGCACTGTTAGGAATGGCCACAGCCACTAGAGCCTAATAGGATACAGGGTATTCGTATGCACACACACACACCCCATGGCATTGGCCAATTAGGGACCCTCCCGCGCGCGGGACAAGTCAGGCAACCGTTAGGTGGCTAAAGCTGAGAACCAGGAGTCTCTCACGGTACATAGGAGCCCTCCAGAAAACCTCCTCCTGCACATCTGGTAGAGAAAGCGTTACAGCAAAGGCATAGCAACAGGGATAGGAATGCAATAACAATTAACAAGACACAGAATGAACTCCCCAACCCCCATGGCAGCATAGCTGACAAAAGTGCAGAGAAGGGCTGGATCACAGATGTGAGCGCAGAGATCCCCCCCGCCCCCCGATTCCTCTCGTGATCAATGCGTCTCTAGCATTTTGCACCGAGCCAGGCACAGTTCTCCCCCCTCCCTTCATGGTCAAGAGGTCGTTCCCAAAAGGAAAAGTCCAAAGTTGCTTCCACATGGGTCCTTTCCGTACTTGGATCCCTGGTTTTATCAGAGTTCAACTCGCGACACAATACCTTGCATTTATCCCTGGTTATAACAGCATCCGTTT